ACACTAGTAGTAAAACTTTTTCGTCTCCCACTGAATGCATTATATCTTAATTTAGTTTTTGACTCATCATTTGGTATGCTATCAATATTCAGTTCATTTGGAGAGGTAGATTGAATACGTTTTACTTTCGTAACATTTACAAGTGACATATGATGAAATCTTTGTTTTAGAATTCCATTATATTCACGATTATTAGCAGACTGACGCTGATTTATAGTTTCCAATGATTTTGTTCGTTCAGGTTCCGATGATTTTGGAACAATTCTTTCTGCTTTTACTGATGTGGTTGATCTTGGTAGTTTTATAACATTAAATTGTTCTTCGGTGGTTTTTAAACATGCAAGTTTATCAGGTAATGGTTCTACTTTTATAGCTTTATGTATACTTGACCTGCAATGATTCGATTCAATGGATTGCGGTGAACTAGGTATACGTTTCAAACGAACAACACTCACAGCGCTCATTTGAGGTTTAAAATTTGATTCAGATAGATCTATGGCCATTGTTGATTGTGAAGCAATACTTGTTCCATTTTGTTTATCCTTTTCATCTGAATTTATTAAACAAACGTTTGATACTTTTTGTGGTATTTTAATTACCGTAACTGGTGATGTGGGACTACGTTTTATTTTAAGAGGTTCAACTACTTTTGTGGGCATATTTGGTAAGTTAACCAGGGCGTTTTCCCGCCGCTCATTAACGTCATTGCTCATTCTGTTGGATCGTTTCACTGTAATCACTCTTATACTGGATTTCTGACTGAGATTCGTCGAGAGTTCATCTAAATCAAATATACTTGTATTTAAATCCATTGATGAGTAACCACTGCTTTCACTGTGTTGTTCGCCAGATGTAGCTTTTGTTTTATTGAACAATGCTTTACTAAAACATTTTTTTACATGTGGTAATAAACATTCATGGAATGCGCCAAGTTCATCAATAGTTGTTAATGTTGAACTCCTAATAGTTTTAATTACTAAACCAATGTAATAAAATTCAAAATCACCAACATTTTTCCTTTTTTTTCTTGAAAACCCTCCACTAAAAACAGATTTATCAAATAGAAAAGTTTAATTCATATTTTGTTCTAACACTACAGTGAACCTACAGGCAACAGCAATAGCAAACAAAACAGAAAGCTAATAAACCTAATGCGAATGAAATAATCAATGGTAAATACAACGTAATTGGGACTAAAATGATAAAAGAATAAAATTAGTGGTAGGTGAAAAGAGAAATATTTGTAAAACACGCTAACACTTACTGATATTCATAAACAGTTCAAAAGTAAAGTCTGGTATAACTATTGAGAGGGCGCACTGAGAACATCGAATATCACTCAAATACATTCGTATTAGCGTTTATTAACAGTCAAAACTTAATTAGGAATCTCCAGTAACACACAAAAAAGGCAGAAGCACCTCTCTCACTCTATAATTTAGTAAATATAAAGACAATCCAATGCTGAGAATGTACTTTGTGATTATTCTAGGTATTACCTGTGAGGAAATTTTAGTATATAAAACGGCGTGTACAGCGGAAAATATATTCTACTTGTGACAACGCGTGAACTGTTCACGAAACCTTTTCGTGTCATATTTTTCGCTCGTGGTCACTAGTGAAAGTCGTAAAATGGTGTGTGGACACATGTGAAAAGAAATTCTCGCATAATAAAGAAATTTTAGGTTAACATCGAGTCATCGTACAACTTCAACCATTGTGCAGAATATAGGAAAGAACAGCGAAGTTGATTTTTGAAGTTCGTGTGCAAAGATCAAGTTCGTGTATTCCATCTTAGCTTCGTGCAAGGATTAATTTTGTATTTTAATAGTTCAAGTTTCAGAATGATATAACGGGAAGTTATATTCTCGATCTTCGTTCTGGTTCAAGATTAACCAATTATCTCTATGAACGAGTGTGAAATTATAGAAAGTTCGCACGTGACCACGCATTTGATATCGCAATTGCACGACTCCAACATCGTGAAACTTTAACAGAATCTTCCCGTAGGTAGTGGTTGTTGATGACCATTAG